CAGCAAGTGCCCGGCGGGAGGGGCGGGGACAGAGGGTGGACCCGCAGGAGGAGCCTGGGAGGGCCAGGGCGGGTCTGATGCCTCTGTGGTGACCCTGCAGCGAGGACCATGTCTCTGCCCTCTTGGACCTGCGCGGGGACGTGTCCCGCGAGCTGCGCCTGGCCGCACTCAGCTCCTTGCAAGTCGGCCCGCCGCCCTCGCCCCCCACGGGCGGCCGCGAACTCTTCAGCCTTGTGCCGGCACCTACACCGGCCGTGCCATCCTCCTGCCTCCCCTCTGGCCCCTGTGCCTGATGCCCGCTGCCGGCGGAATAAAGCCACGGACCCCGAACGCCTGAACTTGTGTGTTGGGCAAGAGGGGATGAAATAAAAGAGCCTACGGAGGTTAGGGGTTCACGCGCAGTGACGCGCCTAAGGTATCCTGGGTCCCGGCTGGTACCACCAGCCTAGGCAGGCATCGGCTCTCCACGTGTTCCGCGTTCGCGAGAACCTGGACCCCCGCCCGCGTACGCAGACCACGCTCCACGTATCCGCGCCAGCTCTGTGCTAGAGCCAGCGCCGCGCTAGCCGCCCGAAACCCACCGCGGCCCTCGGAAGTGGGAAGGCCTCGGACGACGTCCCGCCCAGGGGCGTGGCGTGGGCCAGCCTAGGCAGGCATCGGCTCTCCACGTGTTCCGCGTTCGCGAGAACCTGGACCCCCGCCCGCGTACGCAGACCACGCTCCACGTATCCGCGCCAGCTCTGTGCTAGAGCCAGCGCCGCGCTAGCCGCCCGAAACCCACCGCGGCCCTCGGAAGTGGGAAGGCCTCGGACGACGTCCCGCCCAGGGGCGTGGCGTGGGGGACGGACAGCGACCCCTCCGCTCTGCCTGGTCCCGCCCCGAGTAGACTCAGGCGCGCGCTGCGGCGGCGACTAATACAGACCCACGCGCTTTCATGCGAGCGTGCGCGCGTCCGGTGCGTGCGTCATAGGTACCGGCTCTCGCGGGCCGGCGGCCGGCGACCGGCGTGGCGGAGCGAGAACGGCGGGCTGCAAAAAGAGGAGCGAACAGGTGGGGGTACGCACGCGAACCGAACCCCGCCCAAGGCCGAGAGACCGCGCGCGCGACCGGACCCCTTCTGATCTCCGGGATAACCCCCAACCCCATTGTCTTCTGGCTCCGCCCCCTACTGGGCACGCCCTTTACCCTATCCTCCGCTGCTTATTGGCTGGAGGTCACGCCCCTCGTCGATTCTGGATCCCCATTGGCTCTTCCTTTACGTTCTCTTCCCTGAGTTTCTTATTGGCGCAGGCCACACCCTCTCATTTGTCACCGGACCCCGCCTTCAGTGGTCGGGGGCTCCTCCCCCATTCAGCCTTCATTCATTCTGCAGCTAGTATTGGGTGCTTGGGACATGGGGGTGAATCAGAACCGTCCCTGCCCTCGGGAAGTTGAGGGGATGGCGGAAGGACATGAACCAAGGCTCCGATAGTCACTACCTAGGGCGGTGAAGAAGCCGCCGAGGCACTGGGACCCTCTAGATGCCAGGAAGGCTTCCCGGAAGAGGTGAGGCCCTAAATCAAGCCCTGAAGAATGGTTAAGAGTTTGCTCCAGGGAGACATTGCGAGGGCATTTTTGGCAGAAGGACCTGAGACGTGAAAGAAACAGGCGTATTCTGGCCTTTGCCAGGAGGTAGGTAGAATGAAAGAAGGGGAGATGGAGGGGAGTGGCCTAGGTAGAGGCCTGAAGACCCAGAATGGTGTGTGATAAGTTGAGGGGTGTGAAGCCTGAGGTTTGAAATCTTTTCAGGCAGCTGGTCCCTAGACAGGGTGGAAGAAGCCACCGAGGGGGAAGATGAAGTCTAGAATGGGGGAAACCAAGCACAGGGAAGGAATGATTCTTGTTTTGAAAAGGAGAAAGCCTCTTGGATCCATTCATTTACTGATGAGCTGCTCTGGGTTCTGAGGGACACAGCTGTGAACACTGCAGTGGAAAAAACATAACTCACCATCAAATATACTGCACGAACATAAACTACGGAAGTACACTTCAGATGATAACTGCTGCAGAGAACAGGAATACAGGGAGTGGAGAGGAGGTTTACTGTTTTATGGTGGGTGTGTTAAGGAGGTTTTTCTAATAGCATCGTATTTGTGCAAAGATGAAGAAAGAGTGACCTGCGCTGTTAGGTAGCAGGGGAAGGAACATTCCAGACAGAGCACATGTTCAGTTTGGGATGCCCGTTAATTACTCAAATGGATGGGGCCGACAGGCGGCGTGGTGGTTAACTGCACTGACTGCAGTTTGAGTCCTAGACCTAGCAGCTTGCTTTCCCTCTCTCTTTCTCTTTCTCTCTGGTCAAATTTTAAAATAATAAATACAATGACGTAAGAAATCATTATTTTAAAATATACTCAAGTAAAGATGTTGCTTTGAAACTACCAACACTCATTGGTCTAAAGTTTATGGAAGAAGTCTGAGCTAACATATTTCAAACCAGAAGCGTGAATGAAATCACTTAGAGGGTTACCATAAATGGAAGAGAGAAGTTTCTGTAGACAAGTCCTGAGATAGTACACTCTTTTAAATTTTTTTAAATTTTATTATTATTTTTTAATTTTACCAAAGAGAGACAGAGAGAGAGAGAGAGAAGGAAAATGAGAAAGTAAGTCACCAGGCCAGGAGTCAGACCGCAGTCGGCCATGTGGGGGTCCAGCACCTCAAACACTAAGCCACTTGCCAGCCCTGAGACACTACATTCTTTTTTTCTTAAAGAGAATTATTGTATTTAACTTTATGTATCTATTTATTTATTTATTTATTTATTTAAATTTGACCAGAGAGAAATAGAGTGAGACAGAGAGCGAGAAAGTGAGAAAGCAAGCGCCGCGTCGGGGACTCAAACCAAGGTTGGCCATGTGGAAGTCCAGCACCCTTAACCACCATGCTGCCTGCCAGCCTCCCACCCCACCCCCTTTTTTTTTTTTGGAGAGGCTTTTGTCACAGGGTACATGCACTCGCCAGAACAACAGAGACAGAGAGACAGAAAGTGAGAAGAAATCACCCCCCCAGAGGGCATGGCTACACTGCAATCCCTTCTCTTCCATTCTCCTCTCGAGATCCTGGACACACACACATACACTTTCCTGGTGTGAGTTTAAGCCACAATTTTAAAATTTATTTTAATTTGACCAGGGAGGGATAGAGCCAGAGAGAGAGGAAAAGTGAGAAAGCAAGCCGCAGGTCTGGGACTCGAACCAGGGTAGGCCATGTAGAAGTCCAGCGCTTCAACCACCAAGCCACTTGCCAGCCCTGAGACATTACACTTTTTTTTTTTTTAAGAATTATTTAACTTTTTAATTTATTTATTTTAAATTTAATGAGAGAGGGACAGAGTGAGAAAAAGAGAGAGAAAGTGGGAAAGCAAGTCGCCAGGTCTGGGACTGGCACCGTGGTCCAGCGCCCTTAACTACCACACCACCTCCCGGCCCTCACATTAGACTCTTTCTTTTTGGACAGGTTTTTGCTATAGGGTGCGTGTGCTCACCAGAAAGAGAGAGGAAAACAGAGAGACAGAAAGCGAGAAATCACCCCCCACGGGGGATGGCCTTGGGGAGATGTCTATGCCACAACCCCTTCTCTTCCATTCTCTTCTTGGGATCTTGGGCACGCACGCATATGCGCCCGGCATGAGTTTTAGCCCCTGGATCCAGGACTCGAACTGCGGTCGACTACTTGGGAGTCCAGTGACATAGCCATTACGCCAACTGCTGGTCCCTCACATTACACTCTTAAGTGATCAGGGAGATTGAGATGACCAGCAAGGAGGACCAGGAAGGAACAGCTAGTAATAGAGAAGGAGAACTAAGTTTGTTTGCAAAACCAAGTGGAAGACATGTTTCCAGGATGAAGTGACTAACTGTGTCAAGAACTGCTGATCAGTATGAAGATCGCTGGTGACTCTGATCAGGTCAATTTTGAGGGGGGGGACAAAGTCCTAACTGGAGTGAATTTAAGAGAGAACGAGAAAGAAAGAAAAAATTAGAGAGTGGATATGGATGACTCTTTTTTTTTTTTTTTTGAGAGTTTTCTCTATAGGGCGCATGCGCTCGCCAGATAGAGACAG